CTACTTTGCTATTGGTCAAATCAGTGAACTGACCAGCAGCAAGTGGATCAAGTGAATTAAGAGACATCTGCTTCGTTACTGGTCAGTTCACTGATTTGAATTAGCGAGGAGGATTAAGTGGGTACTTGTCTGCTGGCAAAACGCTAGCAAAGTGAAAATCATGATAGCCTGGGTGGGGACCAAACCATTCCACCCGGCGATATTCTGAATGTCAAGATGACAAGGGAGAGTGTCACGAAGTCGAAGTGGCCGATCACCAGAAATTGCATATCATTAATGAGAGCTTTAAGCACTGGAATTTTGGGGAAAGAGTTATGAGCATTTTTTGAGGCGAAAAATGAACAATTTTCGGGATAAATGTAGTCTTGCTTCTCTAAACTTTAATTGAAGCAACGGCAAGTGCCAGAATGCTTCATACTGAACTTATTATGCCTAGTATATCAGTACATTCTATTGCACCAGGTGACGTCTAGAAAGGCCATAATGATCATATCCAGAAAATTGATTTATTTTTTTCGTCAAGAATGGTCATAAGTTCTGCAGATAGAAAGCAGAATTAAAATCAGCGTTTCAAGCCACCGCGTCTACGCAGTTTGCGGTGATCGGTTACTTCGACTACGTGGCCCTCCATTGTGAGTCGCATGTAGTGTCATGCTAACAATGTCAGTTTTGTTGTCAATTTTTTGGAAATACTAACCACCCCGGGCACTGCCTTCTGCAATTTCAACCCTGTATAACGCCCTAACCATAGCATAATCTGAAATTATTTTGTCAAAATTGAAGTTAGAGAGAACAGAAAATTTGCTTGCCTCGGTCATGCTCGGTCGTTTGCTAGGATTACTGTCCCACAATTTGTCAAGTACGTAATCTGCCAGTTTTTTCGGAGTTTCCGGTGGAAAATCGTTCAGTTTACCTTCCAGTATCTAGAATAAACATTAGAAACATTTTGAGACACGAAATGAAGTACACTGTCAAACTTACGAGTGCTTTTACTTCTTGGCTTGGTACCCCTTCGTATGGTTCTCTTTGAGAAAAGATTTCAAATGCGAGGACCTAAGTATCTTCATTCTCAATGCTTACAATCATGCTTCTCATCTCCCATATTACCCCAAATGAGTATACATCTGATTTTTGACTGTAGCGGAAATCTCTCAATGTTTCTGGTGCCATCCAGTTTACTGCTAGCTTTTTCATCGACTTCATGGTATAGTTCAATGTTTTTCGCGCTAATCCAAATCCACTCAGTTTTACCTAAAGTAAAAGCTCAATACCTATTTTTTTCCTAAGGATTTGTTTTTCTCACCATTTGCGTATCATAGAAACAGTTCTTCGCGCTTATGTCTCGGTGAATGATATAGTTTGAGTGCAAGAATTCTAGACCCCAACCAGCGCTTACGATCATTCGCAGCATCTCTTCTTTTTTCATTTTATTTTCTTTACTTCTTAGGTAATCATCCAACGGTCCACCTGTAAGTGCTTTTCTTGTAAACCACTTGCCCATAGCCAAAGAGTTCGACAACAGCATTTGCGCATGCGAAACGGCAAGTGCACTTTATAGCGATCTTCGGCCGCAAATGTTGTACTTCACAGGCACTGTACTAATCGTCAAATCCTTGGGACTGTATTGCAGAAGTTTTGTCAGTTCTTTGGACGCACCCGCAATCGGAGT